CTTCAGACAGGTAATTTGAAGAGCTAGAGCTGTGAAATAGATTATAAGGGAGAGCGGATCATATTCTGGTGTAAATTAGCTGTGCTCCATCCAACCCAGCAGGACTTTGCCAGTGTGCAGCAGTGAACAGCATCAGGAAGCTGAGTGGTGTGGAGGCTCTGGGGGTGATCGGGCAATGGCTGGGGTTGTGACTTTCAACACAAGGCAGAAGATAGTCTGAATTTCCTTGCTACCCTGCACTGAATCTGCTCTCTCCAGTGGGAGCAGCTCCGCTGCCTGCAGGATCACTGGCAGCTGGCAAAAGGCTGCAGGAGAGGGAGGGTGTTTGCACCGCTATAACCTGATGAAGCTGAGCTCAATCTCAGTCACACGTGTCCAAATGGGGGGGAAGAGAAGGCACTCCAAGGCAGGTCCTGTGATGTCCCCTGTTGTTCCTGCTCTGCCTGGTCCCAGGTGCTTCCCCAGTGCTTTGTTCCAGCCTGTAGCTCAGCCATCATGTTTATAACTTGGCATTTCTTCCTGCTGTGCAGCTGGATACTGCATCTGGGCTCAGTGACATCTCTATTAACTCCCTGCCGTCAGAGCCACTGCTGTAGCATGGCTGACTAGGGCTGTGGTATCCCTGAGTGCAGCATGGGCTGGGAGATGTGCATTGTCCTGCTGCAAGCTTGCCACATTCCTGCCACTGTCCCAGGAGCGGCAACTGCAGCTAAGTTGTTCAAAGAAATCAGGATGGAGGAGATGTCAAGACCAGGCAGAGGGTACAGCCCAGGAAGGGATTTAGAGGGAGTCTTTAGCTGGGGATGCCAAAGCAAAGCCCACGTCTTCCCTAGCAATTAACACAGTTTGTAGGGGATAAGCTATTCCACATCCACTCAAGACCTGGAAAAATATGAAATACAAAAAATAGCTGATGTCAGCCATAAGGACTAGGGATGAGGGGATGGTCCTGCCCAGTTGAAGACTAGCGTTTTCTCCTGCCAGCCGTGGTGTCCAAGTCCTGTTGGCCCATAGGATCTGGCACAGTCGTGCTCTCAGCTGTGGTGCTGCTGGCTGCCTACGTGTCTCTCCCAGCACTAGCACAAGAGTGAGATCCAGTCCAGGAGGTCCCGGCTCAGCCCACAGACCGCTTCCAGGAGGTCTTTGCCAGCATCAGGATGTGAGCAAAGAAGCAGCTTGCACATGGTGAGATGTCAGATTGACAGACGCCGCGGGGAAAAAAAAGGGATCCTGGCGGAGGGATGACAGCGATGTACCGCTCCATTAGTGCCGAGGGAAGAAGTGTCACCGAGAAACTACAGGCACTGATGGGGACCCCACAGCCAGCTGAGCTCTCTGTAAGGCCAGCTCAGTTACCCTCAGGGCTGGCCAGGAGCTGGAAATGATCCTGGATTGCAGTGCTACGTCCCCGTGGAGTGATGCCCCATGTGTCTCCTTCTGCAGCACCTGCTGGGCCCTCTCCAGCTGCAGGAGAGGTGCTGCAGCTGGCTCTGTGGGAGCAGCAAGCACTGCAAAGGGCCATCTTTCCACCTGAAGTGGGGTCCTCACCCCTGCGAACTCCTTTGGGACACTTCTGTTAATCCCCAAGCTAGCCTGGAGCATCACAGGACTAATCAAAGGTCAGTCCTGTAGAGACATCTGTCTAAAGGCACCAGTCATGATGGAGGGCAGTGCATGGCCCCTTGTCCTCTGTGGGGGTGAAGACCAATTTGGTGGACTGCATCTCTGGCAGGTCTAATTATAAGACAGTACTGAGCTGTACTAGTGGGCTTTGAAATCCAATGAGCACGGTAGACTTCTTGCTCTTATATAAAAAAACAGAGCCAGGATCCACTTCTGGGATAAATAATTGGAAGATATTGCATCCAGTAAATTGTATTTGCTGCAGTCTGACCCACTGGGGTGCAGAAATTCTTCTCATCCATAGTTTTGGTGATGGGCAATATTCTGCTTCTGTTGGATGGTGAAAGAGAGAGCATGTCCTGATGCCTGAGAGCGTCTCAGAACTGGGTCTCACATGGTTTGAAAATCAGTTGAATTTCTGCAAGGTTTGAGTCTAGACTGGACATAGGGCCCCAGTAGACTGAGATAAATTGCGTAGTTCAAAATGACACCAAACCCAAAGGAGTAACCAGCACTTGGAAAATAAACTATATTATGGATTTAAAAGCCAGAGATTGGTGCAGTGTGAGAGATGATAGTTGAGGAGATTTCTCTAATCATAGATATTTCTACTGTGAAAGGGCAAAGGCCAAAAATAATAAAGAAGGGGAAAGAGGCAGAAGAGGTGGAATTTGATTCAAAGATGCCATTTGTTCATCTAGTGACACAGTAACCCTCATCTGGACATGGAGCTTGCAAAACTACAGCCAAGCCTGAGTGGGGAGGTGGTGGGATGGCAATCTCCAAGCCATGAGTTGCTGATGGAGGAGGCCACTGCATCTCTACAGGATTCCTCTGATCCACCTCTGGCCTCTCAGAAAGACTTTTGGGCACAGACTGGCAGCATTCAACTACCAAAAAATGCCAGATCCCTGCTACTGAGGGACTTGGTGCTGCTGGGTGCAGTATTGGGGAGGTTGCTCAAGGTCGACGGAGGGAGTTCTCTGAACAACACAAAGGCATCGCCTGTCGGTGCAGCATCTAAGCAGGCTAGGTAGCAGGAACGGTTGGGATTTGTGGGCCAAAGAAGCATCTCCTGAAATCTGGGCCACTCTGGATGGCAAATGCTGAAATGATGGCATCAAAAAGGTAACTTGATAGCGGTGAACTCGGAGTATCACAGGACTGTCTGTCTGAGAGAACCAGTTGACTTCTTCATTGGAAAGGCAGCAAATTTACCATGGAAATGCAGATCTCTGTATACTAGCAGATCTAATACATGAGAAAACAGATACGGGAGCCATGTTTTCTTGAAGCCCCAAGGCCTCAAAACACACACTGTGTCCTACACATCCCAGAGAAAGACCAACGGTCCATAACATTTATCTAACTGGAACCACCTGGGTAGATTAATGAAACAAAACGAAAAAGCAAGGGGATTTTTTTTTTAATAAACAAAAGCAGTTATGTTTCATGATAATCATTGCAAAGCCATAGACGAGGTGGAGAAAGACTAATCCTTACCTCCACCTCTTTCTGACTCAGCCAGTAAACGCAGGAGTGAAAGCCTGTCCACTTTGCATCAAGAACAGGTCTTCCTCTACACTTTTCCCCTTCAACAGGCCTGCACATATTGGTTCACCAGCCTCCAATTAGTGGGCATACTTTGAAGTACCAACTGCCTGAATGACTGGAGACATTCAAAGTAGATGTGCTGAAAAGCATGAAACATAACGAATAACACAGATAACTACCAAAAATCCCAGTGAGCAGATTGATGAGAGCCATAAACACTTGAAATCCCACATAAAATTTCATTACATGCAGAAAACTCCCCTTAAGACACTAGTAAATAAATATACCACCTTGAGGAATAAGTAAAACATCCACAACTTTAGGTCAGCTGAGGTAGTATAGGGCAGTTTTGTGGTCTCCAACCCTTACAGTCCCCATCGCAGTTCCTGTACTGACACTGACTTTCATGCAGCTGGTTTATAACCCACACTGCCCTACAAGCAGGCTGAGATCTCAAGCTGTAGCAGCCCACTGTTAGAGTCTCTTTCATGCTCCATGTTGCAGCTGGTCGATCCAATACAGCATCTACTGTCCAGTTTTCTTTGGGAATGGGGTGGTGGTGCGAGAAAACACATCCAAGTGCTGGGTGCAGCTTAGGCTGTGCCTTGTTGTATGACCCCTGAAGTCATGCCTACCTACTGCACCCGGTGCCATGATCCTTCTTATATCATCCATAGTCTGCCAGATGCATCTGGTTATGATGTGACATGGTGCCGTCTGATGCTCTGAAGAACTTGTTACTAGAAGGGTATGCCCCTCTATTATGCATCCTCAAAGATGTGTTGGTGTTTATTTGTGCCATACGCCTGTGTACTATACATACCAAATGTTACGTTCCAGGTTTATCATGTGTAATTATTAGTAATCCATTAAAAATCTAAAAACCCAAACAATGCAGAGCTTAATTAAATGAAACAGAGTAAGCTTTTGTTTTCTTCTGGGGGAGAAAGGCATTTTCACAAGGATAGACTAATGGCTATGAAACTAATGGAAAACTGTTCTTTCCCTGCCCATATCACACTTCTGGTGACTTATCTGGAGGCTGTGGCCTGGCTGAAACACCCCTGGCATGACCATCGGTCTGCAGGGATATCAATGACAAAGGGAATACGCCTCATTGCTTTCCACTCCCATCTCTTGTTCAATGGGATGTTTTTATTTGCCTTTCCAATACTGCCCCATCAGGTAAGCTGTTGATAGGGACTGTATGATGCCCGGGAACAGTCAGTCTTGCTCTCAAAGCAGATCTTCTCCTCAGGTGAAGGAGATGCCAAGAGAAAGCTCTGTGGGATTACTTCAGCCAATGTCCTTCTCAGGCACTGTCATCTTCTATTTTGTCTGCTCCTCCACTGCCAATCTGCATTGGTAGGGGCTGTGAGAAGGCAGGGGAAGGAGTTGAATCCTTACAACTGCTCAATTTATGGATACATTTACTATATCTGTCTAATCACTGTTACTTAATTAGTACTATCTCCAAGTAGATGATACATATCCCAGCTCACACAGTTCTGCAGTGGCTACACCACCTCGTTATCCATGGTGGAGCCTGCCCTGCCCAGTGTCCTGATGCTTCCAGTGTCCTTCCCTTTTTGTTGTGTGTGTGTTACAGCTCTACGCAGTACCCCCAAAAACTTTTAGCCTACTGTCAACCCTCACATTTTCTCACCAATCCCCTTGCACCCTTCTTGTCACACCACATGTGGGACACATTGCACAGCTTCACAGATCACCAACAACTGGTGAAGTGCAACTTGGAAAACACTGCCCCGGAGATCCAGGGACCAAGGATGCCACATCCTCACCTTCTGCTCCAACCCCAACAGGTGACCCCGCGGCAGAGGAGTGGTCCCCGTGGAGCGTGTGTTCGACCACCTGCGGGGAGGGCTGGCAGACCAGGACGAGGTTCTGCGTGTCGTCTTCCTACAGCACTCAGTGCAGCGGCCCTCTCCGGGAGCAGAGACAGTGCAACAACTCTGCCGTGTGCCCAGGTGGGCTGAGCGCTCCATGTATGCGTGGGCAGGAGGGGAAGGGAGATGCACAGAGATCAACTGCCTGTGATATCTCCACTGTGATATCGACTTGGAGGGAGATGTTTTTTATTTCTTCTTCCTTCCCTTTTTACCCTAAAGCCTCATACAGAGACCCTTGCTAGACCAAGCACCAGTAGATGGGCACTTGTTTTGCATGGTATGGACAGTTCGATGCTATCTAAAGGCAATGAACACAGCACATCTGAAAAACATGTGCCCTTTGGGGTGTTTTCAAGCATGGGGCAGACTGGGAAAGAGAAACACCAGATGATACTTTCAGTTGCTCAGATGCCAACACTGGGAATTCCATTGCAAAATCAACATGAAAAACTCAGGCTGCTGGTATGTTTATGAATTGAGCTAGCCATCGTCTGTTTTCATACTCCTTCTTCCATAATTTTGATGAAAAAGTACAGTCTGAGGAGCCTGGAGATTATTTTGAAGAATTATGCTATTAAACCAGGTGTGTTATTCACGACTCCCAACCAGCAACGTCATTGTTCAGAACCAATCTTACAGTGGTGAAACCACCAAGCTGTTTTCCCGTGCTCTATCCTTCATTTTCTCCTCTAGTTATCTCTTATCATGCGAGATGCCTGGTGACAATTGCAAAACGTTAGGTTTGAACACCCTTTCCTGATACTGGTGGATCAGTCACTGTTAGCAACTGATGAAGGACTGGAAAAGTACCCGTAGTATTTTTTTTTTTTCTGAAGCATTATTGATTTTGAGTTAGCTTCTCTGGTAAATCTGGAAGGGATAAAGTCCCTTAAGAGAGACCAGCACATTCTTGTAACATTTGGCCTCTAGAGATTATAGTGACTAACCTTCCATAAATAACCTGGCCAGATTAGATTAGATTAGATTGGAGAAGATTAGATTAATATAGATTAGAAAGCTTTAGATGTCTAATTCCAGGAGTTACCAGTGATGGCCTGAGCACTGTTGGAGCATGTTGCCCATCCCATTTTGTTCTTCCAAGTCTCCCTAGCTTTGCCCCAGTGGTGTCACTGATGTATGATAGTAATTAGTAGCCAGACTACAGCTTTTCTGAGAGCTTGAAAATGCTGTAGCCTTTGACGATTCAATGAGAAAATGTGTTGAAGGAGGGAAATAAGGGTAAGGAGTGACAAAATGGTGGTGGGTGGTGGGTTTTTTGTTCCTCTCTAGCTAATTGTATCTTTTGCTCAAAAAATGCCCCTTTCTCTTGGCTCAAAAACCTGCAAAATTAGGGTCAATTAAAAGTGCATTGTGATTTATTTCAAATAGATTGGAAAGTAACAGACACTTGGTGTCGATACCAAAGCATAAAAAATTATGCGATGTTCCTCTTGCACATTTTGGCCTTCCCACACTCACTTCTCACATGCTGCTCATTCTGGGTGGGAAGATGCTGTGCTCTGTGGGCTCACTCACTTCTCCAGACCTCCTTTGGAAAGGAAACTTACTTTTTCTGTTTTGATTGCAGTGCATGGCACCTGGGATGAGTGGTCTCCGTGGAGCTTGTGCTCTTCCACGTGTGGGAGAGGGTACAGGGATCGGACCCGCACATGCAAGCCCCCGCAATTTGGCGGGAACCCCTGCGAGGGCCCAGAGAAGCAAACAAAGTTCTGCAACATTGCACTTTGCCCAGGTAAGGCAGTTAGAGATTCAAAGCCTTCCCTCCAGCAGGTCTCCCTGCCTCCGAAGATGCCCACACATGGCTCATCGAGTGGGTCTGTAGCTGCCTCAACTGAATCAGCACACAGTCTGCACTGTTCCAAAGAGGATCCTCTATAAGGAAAGGACACATTGGAGGAGCAACCTAGAGGTGCTTTCTAGGGTTATTCAGCTAAGCATTGTCTTAGGTTCAGATTTGCTCTGTGTAATAACTTTCAGAGGACATATTAGACAGGATGGATCTGGACTGGCTCAGCTATAACTACTATTTCCAAGACCATCTTAAGCTTCTCATCTGGTATCTCCAGTGAATGGTTTGAAGTTATTTCACCTGACTGGGCTTGTTCTTGTGCTGGAATTAATTAATAGTTTTATTTGCTAGCGATATACATTCATTAATTCACTATATATGCAAGTTTTCTCTGTACCTGATCCTGCTTTGGGTGGTGAGGTGGACTAAGAGACTCCTGAGAGCCTTCCATGCCATATTTTAATACTTTTAAGTACCTTTTCCTTACTCCTAGATTTCACTTCCAAATGCCTTTCTCTGAGTTTTGCTTTGAAACACCAGAAAGAAACCTCAAGATGTAATGGCTTTTAACACTGGAAATCCACTTGCGCTCCTGTGGCTTCCTTCCCCAAACCAGACAGGCCCTGGATTTACCACAGAGTCCCCATTAATTTAACTCAGGGTGTGAGGGTGAACATGGTCTGAACACGAGGAAGCTCCCTAACACTCCCCCTTTCTCCCAGGGTAATGTCAACTGACATTTTTCCAGTTTAATGAGAATCATTATAAGACATTATTACGTCCCCGGAGGTGGAGAGGGATTGTGGGAGAGATGAGAACTTTGTGAAAACATTTGTCAGAAGCCTCCTGGCATTTCCCACCCAGTTTTGATCCCAAGTAACTATCCTTGGATTTCTGGCTGCGGTCCAGAAGACTCTACTCGGAATAAGAACATCCCAGACACCAAGTCGGCTCTGTCATAAAAAGACAAATTGAAGAAGTCAGACCTGGCATTGCTTGGGCCATAAAGCATATCCTGAGTTAACATTGATCCGTAATTAATTTAAATACAAATAAATACGTGGATACACTGCAGCAAATAAAACAGTGGTGGAAAAGACAAGCAGCCCAACTGCAAGACTTCATCTCTAATTAATGCCACAGAGGCAATCAGTGGCTTTGCTGTGCCAAATGAGTGCAGCGTTGGGGGACTCACTGAAGCACAACAATGGGCACTGCTCAGCGCTTGACACACCAGACAGTCATATCGCTTATTACTGCCCCGCTCTGAGGATTTATTACTACAACTGATAAAAATGCTCTGCTGCAGGGACAACAGAGCTTTTGTTCCTCCGGAGCCGTAGATATCACGGGCTGAGACCCAAGTCCTTCGGAGAGAGAGGGGGAAGACAATGCCAGCCTCTGCATAGACTACACCAGCCAGATTCCAATGAACATTCTTGATAGACTCACACTGAGGTGTGACAATGGCACTGAGCGGTCTTTGCTGCGGCTGTGATGGAGAGCCCTCAGCGTCTTGCCCAAGAGACACCTTTACATCAGCGCACGCGGCTGGAGGTGCAACATGGCCATCTCTGTTTCTCCATTTTTTTAAACACCTTTGAAATTACAGGCTGTGAATAAATAATCTCTGATCTCAAAGGAAATTACCTGTTCCCTATCCCACACTGAATGAGCAATTTACGGATGAGGGGCTTTTTTATTTTCCCGCCTCCAAATGCTTGCACTTGTGGTAAGGTGCCAATCACCACTGCCACAGCAGCAGGTAGGGCTTTGGTAAATGCAACTTTTTTGGTAAATGCAACTTTTTTGGTAAATGCAACATTTACTTTGGTAAATGTAATCTTACTTTTCCAATATATGGGAATACTAATGAGGGGCAGCCACCATCAGTTCATGGAGACTAGCAGCACTTCCTTCAGTCAGAAAAGCCACGCTAATTTATACCTGGTAGGATCTACTTTGTGGGGTTTTGGATCATTTCCAGAAAGGAATCACCTGTCAGTCACCACTTCTTGCATTTCCCCTCCTTGGGATTGATAGGCACCGACATGATGACTTGAATTTATGCACGATGAAAACATCAAGCTTGGATTGCTAAAAACAAGCACCTTTTGGAAGTACCTTTATGCCTGCCTGATTTTTCACACCTTCTGAGCTCACGTGACCCCCTCTGAGTTAACAGTTGCTCATTTGAATGTTTTTGACATTTTTTTACATGCTTGCGGACAAAATGCTGCTCAACTGCAAGGGGGATTATTTGGGGCTGTTCGAGTCCTTGCAGATTACACAGGGGACCGGGTTGCATATATTTTTCTTGAACTGATAAACAAAGCCAAAGAAAATGAGCTGCAATCTACAGCAATGTGATTTGAGCCAGAATTCAGACTTTTCAGGGATTCAGGTTGTTTTTCTGAGTGAGAGCTAGCAGCTAGTGAGAGCTAAACAGAGCATGATGACTGCTGCTAATGAGAAAAAAGTGCTCCAGGAATAGCAGACTGGGTGATGGATCTGTTGATCAGGGACCAATTAAGGTGTAACTGCCACACTTGGGAATGCCTTATACTGTACCACGCTAATAAGATGTATTCATGTTTCTCTCCAACCCCGTCCCTATCATAACCTCTCTTGTCCCTCCCTCTTCTGTTTAATTTTCAAAGACACTGCTGTGTAGAGACATATCAAGCCTGTCAGTGTTAATTCAGCCATGAGAGGAGTACATTGACCACACACGCGCACTCTGCTTGTGGTGTCCTGTTGGACCACACCTTTGCTCTGAGCATTTCCCGGCTAGCAGCGTGAATTCCTGTGAATAACGCTGTGATTCGAGTTTCTGCATGCGCTTTAATGAAAAACAGCATTTGGGTGCTTGAGAAAGTTCCCTTCCTGCAGACTCGGGCATTGCTTTGGTGAAAAATGGGTTGCCTCAAAAAGTGCTGATTGCCCAAAATGGAAAATGTTATGGTAATGTATTGATTCTTTCAAAATTTTCAGTGAAAACATGATCCATGCTCTCTATTTTGATGTTATGTTGTGATCGGCAATATTACTAGTTGTGACTTTTATGTTGGAATGTGTAATATCCATAATTTCAATTTTTATGGTGTTATGTAGAGTATGGACATAAAAATTGAAATCTTATGCCACTTGCATCCTGCTGGGCCACAACATACCAGTTGGAGGTTGCAGAGGGTCCCAACAAATTGCCATTGCCAAAGTTATTTGAACCTTTTCTTGATGGCCCTTGTCCTCTCTCACACTCCATGACCCCCGTCTGTCATCCCCTGCTTCGGACTCTTATAGGCACAGGCCGGAGACTCTTGCACACGCCTCCTTCCAGTGGGAGCGATTTTCACATTCAGTTTTGTTATCTCTCTTTGGGCCACTCAGTGGACGGCAACTGGAACGAGTGGTCGAGCTGGAGCTCCTGCTCTGCCTCCTGCTCCAACGGCACCCAGCAGCGGACAAGGGAGTGCAATGGACCCTCCTACGGGGGAGCCGAATGCCAGGGACACTGGGTGGAGACCAGGGACTGCTTCCTACGCCAATGTCCAGGTCAGTGACCAATGACTTTTTCTTTTTCTTGCGTCATCCTTCTCTGCAGTCCCAGGCAGACTTTTGTGAAATCCCCTATTTTCTTTGGGGAAGAACTGCGTATTTTTCATCAGTAATGCAGTGATAAGGAGGTTGTGGGTCATACCAATGGGTCATGCAAGCCAAAATCCATAGCTGGCAAATGCTCCAGGAGACCTCAGAGAGGTAAGTGATTACCCACAGGGAACGTGTCTTTCTAAGCTTAGATACCAGTTTTCAGCATGTGTTTAAAACAAACAAACAAAATATCAATTAAACCCTTTCCATGCCTCCACAATGCTTCAACTTTCCTCCTCTTTTTTTTTTTTTTTTTTATTCCTCTTCTCGTACCAGTTCACCACTCCTGGTTGTAGGTGAAGCAAACGGAAGCAACCACTATTGTATCACAGCTTTGAACCTTATCTGTGACAAGGTCTGGCACAATGAAGCCTTGATTCATGCCTATCTAAGATTTGTCACTTACTTTATTCATCTAGCTGTTTCTTAAAATAATAATAACAACAGCAATAATAATAATCATAATAATCATAATAATAGTAATAAT